CTTGCTAAATCTGTCGAAAAACACAAGTAGCATGGTGTTGCCATGCGTGGACCGTGGTAGGGGTCCGATGAAATCGGCACACACCGTGGCGAAAGGTTCTTGAGCGACCTGCGAGAGCATCTTGCCGGCTGGTTTGTGTTGTGCCTCCTTGTACCTCTGGCAGGACTCACATTGACGGATGTACCGGCTGATGTCGCGAAACATTCCTGGCCAATAATACCGATTGGCAATCCGTGCTACTGTTCGGCGAATACCCATATGCCCCGCGCTTGGTATGTCGTGGTTTTCCCTCAGTACTCGTCGACGGAGGGGGCTGGGCACACACAGTTTCCAGGGGACTGCTTCCTCGTCCTGGGATCGACACGGGATATGACGGTAGAGCTGCCCCTCCTGTATCATGTAATCGGCGTATTTTTCCGGGTTGGTACGCATTTCTTCGACCCGTCTGTGCCACCACTTGCATCGTGGTTCCGCCACTGTTGTTCGTAGTAGCGTCTCTAGTGGCTGTCGAGACAGTGCGTCCGCGACTAAGTTCAGTTTTCCTTTGCGGTACTCGATGTCGAAGGCGTGTTGTTGCAACTCCAGGGCCCATCGCGCTATGCGACCTGAGGGGCTTTCGATCGAATTTAACCATTTTAGTGACATGTGGTCGGTTATGACGTTGAATCGGTATCCTTCTAGATAGGGCCTCATTTTGCGTATTCCCCAGACTATGGCTAAACATTCCTTTTCCGTGGCCGAATAATTGATCTCTGCCTTATTAAGTTTCCGACTTGCGTATGCGATTACTCGTTCGCCGCCTTCCAACTCCTGTGTGAGTACTGCCCCTAGGCCGAAATTACTCGCGTCCGTCTGCAGGGTAAATTTCTTGCTGAAGTCTGGGCACGCGAGGATGGGGGCCTCGGTGAGTTTTCTTTTTATCACGTCGAACGCTTCCTGTTGCTCAGTTCCCCACCTCCAGTGTTTACCCTTCTTCAGGAGGGCGGTGAGTGGTTGGCTTAGCGCAGCGAAGTCGGGTACGAACCGGCGATACCAGGAAGCTATCCCGAGGTATCGGCGTACCTCCTTCACGTTGGTCGGTGGTTTTAGTTCCTTGATGGCGGCAACTTTGTCGGGGTCGGTGTGTATACCCTTGTCACTAATGACGTGGCCCAAGTACCGGAGCTCCCTTTTAAAAAAGTCGCACTTCTCGGGGTTAATGCACAGGTTGGCCCGCTGTAGTCGTCGGAGTACCTCCCGCAAGTGTTCCACGTGTTCGTCGAAGGTGGAGCCTATGACGATTATGTCGTCGAGGTAGGCAAACGCGTAGGGCTCCATTTCCGGGCCGATGACTTGGTCTAGCGCTCTCTGGAATGTGGCGGGGGCGGAATGTAGGCCGAACGGCATGACGCGCCACTGAAACAGGCCGCGTCCCGGTACGGTGAAGGCTGTGTACGGGCGGCTCTTGGGCTCCAGGGGTATCTGCCAGTACCCGTTCTTGAGGTCTAAACTACTTATGTACTTTGCCTGGCGCAGTTTGTCCAGTATGTGCTGTATCCTCGGCAAGGGGTATGCGTCCGGTACTGACCGGGCATTGAGCTGCCGGTAGTCCACGCATAAGCGCCACTTGCCGTTCTTCTTCCGGGCTAGTACGATCGGCGCACTGTGCGGACTGCGAGACGGCTCAATACATCCTTTCTTGAGTAGCTCATCGATTTCCGTGTCGATTACAGATTGCATCGCAGGGTTGCGCGGGAAGTACCGCTGTTTGATGGGACGTTCATCAGTCATGATGATCCGGTGCTCTCCCACGGTGGCTACTCCGCTAATATTCTCGAATTTTTGCAGTTCTTCGGCTAGAAAGTCGCGTATGCGGGCTGCCTCATCTTCGTGGTTGAGATCCTCGTGTTCAACTCTATTGATATTCTCCCTTGCGGACCGTCGCCTTGTAAGGCGCCTCCCTTTTCTGCTCCTTGGTGGGCTATGGTTCGTCATGGCGGGTGGTTCGGGGTTCTCGGTGCTTGGTGTTGGCTCGCTGGGTGTCGCCGACGTGGGTTGTATAGGTGGTTCCGTCAATACGACGCGGTGCCCGCCGCAGGACACCGTAGCTCCCATTCCCCCTAATGTGTCTAGGCCCAAAATGATGTCGTCAATTGCTCCAGGCATGACATACAGAACGGCGTTGTGGATCGTTTGCCCGAGGCGGATTACGGTCCTCACGGCATCGGATATTTGGTTCCTGGTACCATCGGCCATAAGGATTCCTATGGCCACAGTTATCTTTTTGCCTCTCCCCAAGCTAACCAATTGCTCCGCCACGCTGGCGGACACGAAGCTTCTCGAGGCTCCTGTGTCGATGACGGCTTCCGCGGGCGCTCCACCCAACGAGATTAGGGCGTAGAGGCGGCCGCGTTCCTGGCTCAAAATTATTGGTTGTCCGGCGCTGTACTCGGGGGCTTCATCGCGCCGGTCCTCTGCTGAAGCCCTCTGTCGTTTTCCCGGACGCCTCCGGCAGCACTCTATTGTCCGTATGTCGGCCCGGCCACACTCCCAACAGAACAGCTTCTGTGGGTTACGGCACCTTCGGGCGTAGTGTCCCTCTTGGCCACACCTCCTGCATGTGTTGCCGCTATGATCAGTTTGAATTGTGGCTCTCGAAGGGGGTGGGGTCCTCGCGGCGTTATTATACGATGCCTCTCGATGATGCTGTTCCCTGCGTGGTGGTGGTCGTCGCTGAAATGCCTGTCTCGGTGGGGATGGTGACATAATGGTGTCGTCACCAACGTGCCTCGCTACTTCATGTCGTGATACTTCTGGGGCACGTCGACGACTTTCTTGTATGCCTTCGTACTCTTCCGCGAGCGCTAGAAGCTCCGGCAAGGTGTTAAAATCCCGCCGTTTAATGTACAGTAAGTAATCGGCGTGACTATTGCGGAAGATTCTCTCCAACCGTTGTTCGTTGCTGTAGGCTGCACGTCGCATCAGGTTCTGGATCGCGATCACGTAGTCCTTAAACTTTTCTCGCGGGCGCTGTCTCCGTTGCCTGATGTCGTCTTCCAAACGCTCAAAATACTGGGCCGGCAGAAAAAAATTCAGGAAATCACGTTTGAATGAGTGCCAGGTGCTCCAGTGTTCGTTGTTGTTGCGGTACCACTGGAGGGCGGTGCCGCTTAGCAATTCAGGCATCGTCTTTGGTAATAGGTCTACGTTTAATGCGTAGACGTCGGCTAACTCCTCCAATCGTTCTGCAAACGCCAACGGGTCGCGTCCTCCATCGTACTTCACCGACCACTTGCGTACCTGGTCGATGATGGGCGCAAAGGTAACGGTCGGCACATGGTTGCCGTTGTTTAGCACGTCAGCGTTTGGTGCAATGGATGTCGTTGGCGGTTGTAGACTTGGTGGTGGATATGCGAACTGGCTCTGCGTTGGCGGCCTAACGGGCACATTAGCAGTTCTTTCGCCTTGATTCACGGTTAACGGTGTCTTTGGTTCGCTTTCGTTTCTCCAGTGGGCCTCCTGTTCGTTGTATGCTGCTTCCATCGCGAGAAATTTTGCGTGAAGTTCCGGATCGATGAGTGCTTTGGCGGCCCATGCCGCTATCCGTTTCCTTATCTCTCGAGTGGTGCCTGTGTGTTCGATGCCCAGTTCTTGTGTGATGGACACCAACTGTTCCTTGGATACGCTGTCCAGCCACGCTATGCTCACTGGTTCTGTCATGGCTGGTTTAATTATTGGCTTCGAAATGTTCCCTCGTATTGTACTATTTGCAGTGTCCCTGCTCGGGCGCCAATTGTAACGAAGCGTTTTCCTGTTAAGGCCCCGATGCTTCTGTTTTCTATGCTGGGGTATACTCGCCGTGCCCAGGGTCCGTTACAATAAATTTATATTGTGGGGCCTTTGCAAATAGTACTTTATTTAATTGCTGCTTATTTTCTATCACGTGGAAATTCTTAACATTACGAACATAATATCATTAACGGGACGTAAATTCCTAACGGTGCTGTTCTATCGGCGTTGCTGTATCGCCGCTCTGTCGCTGTGCGACGCCGGCGCTGCTGTACCGCCGCTCTGTCGCTGTGCGACGCCGGCGCTCTGCTTCTGTGCGACGTCGGTTCCCTGCTACCAGGCGGCGTCTGCGCTACTGTGTCGGCGTTCTGCTAGTATGTGACGTCGGCGTTACTATGCCGGCCCTCTGCTTCTGTGCGATGTCGGCGCTCTGCTATGCCAGCGCACTGTTATCCCACGATCGGGCGTCGCTGTCGCGCGTGTTCGCGGTGGACTGTGGCGTGGCGGCGCTCTACCCTTGAATAGCCAAGCCTTGTTTAGTCGCCTATCAACAAGTCGAGCGCTATTCGTTTGTAGCTGTGCGTTCACGACCACAGCTCCGTTACTGACGCGTAGACTGCTGGCGCTCCCCGTTGGAGCGCGGCTGCTGGGTGACTTCGGCGCTTCTCCGTTGGTGCGCGGCTGCTGGGTGACTTCGGCGTTGTGCTGGTGGACGAACTGGCGTCGCCGTCGGCTGACTCACGGTGTACTGCGGAGTGGCGGCACTCTACCCTTGAATAGACAAGCCTTGTTTAGTCGCCTATCAACAAGTCGTGCGCTATTCGTTTGTAGCTGTGCGTTCACGACCACAGCTCCGTGCTGACTGTCTCGTATGTTTCTGAGTCACTTCTGTTATAGCTGGTGTTCTTCGTGTTGCTGAGTTGTGTGGCTACATGTTGCGTTGCTATGGTGACGGTGTCGCAAAGGAGTGTTGATACGGTCTCCCGTGTTGGTTAGCCGTTTCGATGATGTTGCTGTAGTCGTTATTGTTGGTGTAGGGGTTTGTGTTCGTGTGGGCTAAATTCCGCGGATATTTAGTCCTCACAGATCATTTGAGACAACATGTTGTGTGTTTCGAATTTGACAGCTAATGTATCAAGCCGTTCAGAAGGCGCATTATGATCACTGATTTTTTTAGCAACGGTTGCG